AGACCTGGTACGGGAGGTTGGGGAACTTTTCTGTCAGGATGCAGTCCCTGCAATTGAGTGCAAGAATCAAAACTGAGAGCATCCAGACCAGGCCAGGTTACAATACCTGCTGGCATGTGTGTGGGTTATGTCTGCAGTCAGACCAGGCTGAGCCAGCTCATAACACCTACTGGCAGATGTGAGAACCAGGAAGAAGTACAAGACAGTCCAGGTTGGGTCACAACACCAGCCAGTTCATATTAGGGCCGGGACTAGGGGCAGTCCAGGTAGGGCTAGGCTGCAGAACCTACCAGTATGAGCTGGAATTGGGGGCAAGCCAGGTTAGGCTAGGCTATAGCACCCACGGACAAATGCCAAGGTGGAGTGGGCCACACCAGACTGGAACACAGAACCCATACCAGCAAACATGAGGTAGAGGTTGGGGAAGGGCAGAGGGGGAGTCCAGTTGGAGGGCAGTGAGGACTGCCTGGCTGGGCCACTGCTCCCTCTGGTGAGCATGGGAACTGAGACCGAAGTCAGACCAGGCTAGGCAGGGTTACAATACCCATTGACCTGCGTGTGAGCTGGGTTTGAGGGAGAGTCAGGATAACTATCCGATCACACCCACTGGTGCTTGCATGAGCCAGAATAAGGGCAGGCTGGTTGGGCTTTGCCACAACATCCCTGGAAAATGCTGGGAATATGGGCAAGTTCTGTCAAGCTAGACTGCAGAACCACCTAAAGTGTGCAAGATCCGGGGCTGGGAGTGGGCATACTAGAGAATCTGTGGGCACCTCTCTGATGGGCTGCACCTCCTACCAGTCAGCATGAGAACCAGAGCTGGGGATAGACCTGACTGGGCAGGCAGTAGTACCTGCCAGCTAAATGTGGGCTAGGCAGTGGGGTCAGTTGGGCTGAGCTAGGCTGTAGCACTCACTGGTGTACACAAGGGCTGAATGGGATATGGGACGGATTGGTCCAGTCTGCTACAAATGCTGCATGCAAAATAAGTTTGACCTGAAAGAGCATCATTTGCATGCAATAAATATGTGTAATACATACTGTAAATTATATGTTAAGCATATAATCAACATTTAATATATGATGTAGACATGTGAATTATAAAGCATTATATATCAGCATATAAGCATTTCTCTTACAAACTGTATCAATACACGAACTAAGTACTTAGAGTCAAAAAAAAGTGGAGTAACAGCCTCAGGATTTGGAGTGAGAGAGATAAAGGTTGTAGCTTTACAGAGATTTACCCCTTTTTTTGTCCTCAATTTCTCTATCTGTTCTAGGGATTTTATCTCACAAGATGGTATGACGATTCCAGGAGGTGATAAGTGCCAAGCGTGTTTAGCTTGGTGCTTAGCTCGTATGAAATAACATCTGTCATTACTATTCAGACACACAGAGCAGAATTAAAAGGGAGTTGACTGGCGATAAAGAACAGCCCGTGAAAGCCAAGTGTCAGAAAGCCTTCGAGCTGAGGCTCAGAATCTCCACCGAGAAGAACAAGTCGGGGACAAGGAAAAAACAGACCTAACCCATGGTCGCGCGAGTGCTTTCATGGCAGTTTAACGAAACCGTGTCTACAGAAGCATCATCCCGTAGGAGGATTCCTGTGTTTCTACAGGAAACTTGGGTTGAGATGTTAAGCACATTCACTTGATTCATCTGACATCCACGCAAGCCCAGCTGGGTCAAAGAAAGGAGAGCACGTCAGCCACAGGCTCTTCACTTCTCTCCATTAATATTCTCCAAATTTTTTATCTTCGTGAGTTTCATGCAGCACATCTTAAGCTGAGAAATTGTTTAGCATCCCGCACTCTCTTAACTCCTATATCCAGTGTGTCACCCCGTCATGTTAGCTCTGTCCAAAGAAATGTGTCTCGGGCATTCTTTTTAGCTGCACATTCTAGCCCATTAATGCTCCTACTGTGCTGCTACGACAGCCTTCGGACGAGCCTTCTTGCCACAAAAAAGAATGGTCTTCTTAAAAAAATTTTTTTTAAATGTGCCAAAATTATTGAGAGTCTAAAATGCTAAGGAAAGGTGTCAAACCTTGGAAGCCTTGTTTTCCCATATTGTTAATTTAAAAATAATAATAAATGAACAAACTTTTTAAGAGGAAGATTTCTTTTGTTTCTGTCCCATGTCCAGCTCCTAGGGAGGGATGCCAGGATTAAATGGAAACCAGGCTATCACCATCGCACAACTCCTTGCTAATATATGCACACTCAACAAAACGAGATGGAAACCCCTTGTAACCAATCCTTACCACCGAGGAAAAGATCTAGGGCTCCAGGGCTCCCTCAGGACGTCTAGCCTTCTCAGCAGCTAACACACAAACACTCCCTGTGTTCTCAGCAATAACATGGGAAAGACAAAGTCAAGATTCAAGACCTCAAGGCTGCACCTCTTCTGCACCTCTTTTTAAGATATTTTTTATTTTGATTAGAAAGTCAGATACACAGAGAAGAGGAGAGACAGAGAGGAAGATCTTCCATCTGATGAGTCACTCCCTAAATGAACACAATGGCCAGAGCTGCACCAATCTGAAGCCCAGAGCCCAGAGCCTCTTCTGAGTCTCCCACGCAGGTGCAGGGTCCCAAGGCTTTGGGCCATCCTTGACTACTTTCCCAGGCTACAAGCAGAGAGCTGGATGGGAAGCGGGGCTGCCGGGATTAGAACTGATACCCAGATGGGATCCTGACACATGCAAGGTGAGGACTTTAGTCACTAGGCTACCACGCTGGGCCTGGCTTCATCTCTGTACCAGCCACTCAGATCACACTCTTTGGAGCTTCTCTTGCTCCTGCTTGAATTGCTTCTACTCTCACCATTATGTCTGGTCTCATGACCAACACCAGGGCACAGGCCCAGACTCAAGTCACCAGCTCTCCCGCAACAGTGGGAGCTCTGGCACAGCAATGACTTGCAGTGGTTGGCGATTCTGTGGGCGAAAAGTGTCCCACAGCCATCCATTCCCTGGGGATGTCCACTACGTATCTCTCATCTGCTGAGCACAACCCAGAAATTCACAGAACTAAAGGCTGGTCCAGGCAAATCAGGCCATGTGAAGGAAGCCGCATGCTTGCTTACAGTAGTACTCAACTGCTTTAACATCCTGTGCGCTGTGGTTAACAGGACTAAAAGAAATAGTGGAGTCAGCATTATGGTGTGACAGGTTAAGTCGTCACCTCCCGTCCAGCTCCCTGCTAATGCAAATGGAAAAGAGTGGAAGGCAGCCCCTCCCACCCACAGGGGAGACCCAGATGGAGTCCAAGACTGCAGGCGTGAGGCTAGCTCAGCCCTGGCCACAGCAGTCATTTGGGGAATGAACACCTGATGGCTGATCTCTCTCTCTCTCTCTCTCTCTTTCTCTCTCTCTCTCTCTCTCTCTCTCTCTTCCCCTCTCCTCCCCCCCCCATACATGTGCTCTCTAAGCTGCCTTTCAAATAACAAAATCTTTTTTTTTAAAACCAGCATTTGAAAGTTACTAGAAAAAAACACTTCAAGAGTTTTAATTTGGGTCCAACGTGGGAGTCTAGTGGCTAAAGTCCTCACCTTATGCCAGGACCCCATATGGGCACAGTTCCTACCCAGGCTGGTGTGCACTTCCCATCCAGCTCCCTGCTTGTGGCCCGGGAAAGCAGTCGAGGACAGCCCAAAGCCTTGGGACCCTGCACCCGCATGGGAGACCCGGAAGAGGCTCCTAGCTCCTGGCTTCAGACCAGCTCAGCTCTGGCTATTGCAGCTTCTTGGAGAATGAATCAACAGGCAGAAGATCTTTCTCTCTGTCTCTCCTTTCTCTGTAAATCTGACTTCTGATAAGAAAAAAAAAAACTTTAAAAACATTTTTTTTAAGTTTTAATGCATTTCCTGAAGAGGACAAGTCATTTTTTTCTGATTGGTAATTCAAAGGTTTTCATGAAAGAGACTCACCTCTTTTCCCAATGAAGTTGAGCACTTTTTAGTTGGATAAGAATAAACGCACAAATACTCCTTTTAAATTTTATAAATACTTACGCAAGGTTTCAGATTCCAAACGATTGTCAAAAGAGCAGTTGGCCAAGACAGGGTTCATGTTGAATTTGAATACTCCCAGACACTCTATAGCTCCTCTTCTTCCTGCAAGCCAGGGAAACCACTAACTAACCAGACTGGAGCAGCTGTCCTGGACTGCTGAAGGGCCCGGGGAAACGTTGTCAGGATTTATAAACCTTTTTCAAGTCACAATCCATTGATAACAGTAAGTAAAAACAGCTGAGCACATCCTCACCAGCATTTTTAACCAACATACAATGGTCTAATTTAGAATGGCTTGCATTCAATTGATTGCAAGTAAAGGAAGAAACTGCAGTTAGGCCTGCTTCAACAAGTGCTGCACTTGAGACCAAGGTCGTGGCATACTGAGTAAAGCCACCCGGCAACCTGGCTGCTTTGCTTCTCATCCAGCTACCTGCTAACGAGCCTGCAAAGCAGCACAAGATGGCTCAAGTGTTGGGCGCCTGTACGCATGTGACAGGCACGGAGCAAACTCTTGGCTCCTGGCTTTGCCCTGGGCCAGCCCTGGACATTGAGATCATTTAGGGGAGTAAACCAGCAGTGGGAAGATCTCTCTGTGTGTAATTCTGCCTTTGATATAAATGAAACACATTTTTAAAAGAAAGAAATGAAACGATATGCCTTAGGGATATGGAAAAAATTCAAACGTTAGTTTTCACTAGATTTCGCAATAGTGCAAAATCCAGACAGCGTATGAAAATAAAAGCCGGGACTTTCTAGTTTCTTCAGTCCTAACCTATTACAGAAGCAAATCACTATTGTTCAATTGCCCTAAGCAGCAGTTCTAAGTGAAGATGAACCTCCGCTGCACCAGGGGGCGCTACACAGAACGGTCGCCACCGATAGCACAGAAGCTGCGCTCTTGCTTCCTCCTCAGCAGCATTTCCGCCCCGCCTGGTGCCAGTCTTCCGGTGACGCACATCCGGTGCGCTGAGCTGCGCACGTGCGACGGGAAGGAAGCCGCGCCAGGTGGCGGCCGAGATCCAGGCAACATGTCTCACCTGCCGATGAAGCTGCTGCGGAGGAAAATCGAGAAGCGCAACTTCAAGCTGCGGCAGCGGAACCTTAAGCTGCAGGGTGAGAGGGGATGCTCGGGCTCGCAGGGCGCCCTGGGGCTCCAGGTGGCCAGTCTGGGGGTTCCTGTCGGGTTCCCAGGTGGCAGTGTGGGGTTCCTGCCGGGCGCGTGGCTGTCTGAAGGTTCCTTTTGGAGCGCGTGGCTGTGTGGGGGCTCCTGTTGGGGACGCTTGGCTGTCTGGGGGCTCCTGCCAGGCGCGTGGCTGTGTGGGGGCTCCTGTGGGGGCATGTGGCTGTGTGGGGGCTGCTGTTGGGGCGCGTGGCTGTGTGGGGTCTCCTGTTGGGGCGCGTGGCTGTGTGGGGTCTCCTGTTGGGGTGCATGGCTGTGTGGGGGCTCCTGCAGGGTTCCCGGGGTTGCTGTGTGGGATTCCTGCCGGGGTTCCCGGGTGGCTCTCTGGGGGCCTCAGGGTCACCCTGGTCCTCGCTGTGCTCCGCTCCGGGCATCCGCGCGGCCCGTGGACCGTCCCCCCTCGTGTTTGTCAGGGACGCGGGGCTCCCAGCACTTGCCCTCCCCGCAGCCTCTGACTTTGTGCTTTTCTGTCCTCCGCCCGCAAAAGTCCCGGTCCTTTCTCAGGGTGGCTTCCCCGGCCAGCCGCCTCCTCTTCCCCCCATGGCACATCCCGAGTCTCGAGCTTGGGAAAGTCACCTTCTCCCTTGGAACACAAAATCTGACAAGCCACTCCGCCCTCCGCTGCGTGTTCATGTCACTCCCGGTTAGGGTCACGTCTGGAGCGTGAAAACAACGTCTGTGTAAATGTCGCTTTAGTTAGTTTTGTTCTGCATATAAACAGGGAAACTTTGGTGCAGACTGCCTTGTCCATTTGTGTGTGATCCAGATTGACAAAAATAAATAAGTAAGGCTTTGGATGAACAGAATTTTCACTGCCGTCAATGATATATATATATATATATATATATATATACACAATATATATATTGAATTATTTTTTCCATTTCAAATTCAGAGTTACAGAGAGGTCTTCCATCTACCGGTTCACTCCCCATATGGGCAAAATGGCCAGAGCTAAGCTGATCTGGAGCCAGGAGCTTCTTCCTAGTCTCTCCCACACGGTGCAGGGTCCCAGGCTTTTCATCCACCTGCCTCTGCTTTCCCAGGCCGCAAGCTGGGAGCTGGATAGGAAGTGGACACCAGCCAATGCCCATATGGGATCCTGGCGCTTGGAGGTGGGGGATTAGCTTGTCGAACCTTCCCTCCGGCAGCACAGCGTGAGAATTGCCCAGTCAGACCCAGGTGTCGTCTTTGATGTACTGGGGTTCACCCAGCGCGCTGTATTGGAATAACTGCCACTGTATGACTTGGTCTGTTTAGATGTTTGACCTCGTCGAAGTTTTAGAGAAAGTTAGGCTATTTAAAGTCAACAAACTAGTGTAGCTTTCCCTTTCTCAAGTTTGGCGTGAAGGAAGTGGCAGCTCGTTTGAGCCGCATGCACCTGTTCTTAGCCGACGGGCCCAGAAGCCACGCTTTGAATGGTGTAGATGAAGGCAGTGCACACCCCAGAGAAGTCCCTTCCTTCCGTGTCACAGTGTGTGTTTTCTCTGAAGCCAGGGCCTTGGATGTGAGCCTGTCGGAGGATCAGAACGGAGACGTGCCTGAGGAGGTCATGGCCCAGGTGAAAGCAAAGAAGGCCCGAAAACGTTCCGTGAGCGCCAGCTTGCCAGAAGCGCAAAATGGGGCCGCGGCTAAAGACGTGGTGGAAAAGGTCAAAGTTAAACAATCCCCCCAGAAACCAGCTGCGCTCACCAATGGAGAAATGGCAGCAGAGTCGTCCGGTCCCGAATCGAAGAAGAAAAAGAAGAAATCTGCCACACCAACCAGTGGCGAAGCAGCCACAGAATTGCCCAATCCCGAATCAAGGAAGAAGAAAAAGAAGAAGAAGAGAAAGCTGGTGAATGAGGCTGGACCTGGTAGGTGTCTTGTTTTCTTTGAGCTCAGCCATTCCAACTCTTTCTCAGCTGTTCCACGTTCCTCTGGTGTGTGTGTGTGTGTGTGTGTGTGTGTGTGTGTGTGTGTGTGTGTGTGTGTGTGTGTGTGTGTGTGTGTGAGAGAGAGAGAGAGAGAGAGAGACGAGACTTGGTGGAAGTCAGCCTTAATCCCGTGTGTGCTGAAGATTGTCCCAGCAGCTCAAGGAAACATGTTATAGGGAAGAGGTGATTGGTGACAGGATTTTCTGAACATACTGGGAGGTCTTCCCAGGCCTGACTGTCAGAGAACCTGTCACTGATGATTCTCTTCATCTGGTTTTTTGCACCTGCGCCTGTCATTTTCCTACCTTGGATTCCTTCCTTTGAAAAGAGACATAATTGCAAGGTTTATAAAGTAGCATTTAGGAAACATGGCAATAAGTGGAACTTTGATTTCCAAAAGTATAGAATGACAGGTAAGTCAAGGGAGGAGGTGAAGCGTTGTTGCTGTTTATTTACTGAGTTAAAGAAAGAGCAAGTTTCCATCCACTGGTTCAGTGCCCAATGGCTGTACCTGCCACAGCTGGGCCAGAATGAAGCCGAGGACTTCATCCAGTTCTCCCACACCTGAACACTTGGACCATTTTTGGCTGCTTTTTCCAAGCCATTAGCAAGGAGCTGAATCGTATGTGGAACAGGCAACTAGACCGGCTGTGCCACAGCCCTGACCTCAGAAGTGGACATTTTGTTTGAGATGTGGCTAGGTAGGGCCACTGAAGTAGGATAAGCCGAGTTAGCCAAGTGTTGGCTCTTCCACCTGTTTGAATTAGTTGGTCTTACTGCGTCAGAGCCCATGTGGCTTGCAAAGCCTAAAGTCTTCACTGTTGATACAGCTGAAGTTTTCAAAGCCCCTGGGGTCCTTGTTCTTACTTTTCCCAGGGAAGTAGCATTGTTTCTACTCTCGGGCACTGGGAACTGGGAGTTTAACCCTCTGGAGAAATGCTAAGAAGTGCTCAGGGGACCAGTGAGGATTTCCCCGAGGCTTCAGAGTTGACTGCAGCAGGTCAGTGTATGTGAGAGCCAGTTCCACTGCTGGCTGCTCCGTAACACAGGTGAAGCTCCGCCTTACTGCAGCCCAAGGAGTTGTGGCCATTTGGGGAATGAACCAGCACGTGGAAGATGCCATATCTGTCTTTTTTTTTTTTAAGATTTATTTATTTTTATTACAAAATCAAATATATAGAGAAGGAGAGACAGAGAGGAAGATCTTCTGTCTGATGATTCACTCCCTAAATGGCCGCAACAGCCAGTGCTGAGCTGATCTGAAGCCAGGAGCCCAGAGTGTCTTCCAGGTCTCCCACACAGATGCAGGGTCCCAAAGCTTTGGGCCATCCTCAACTGCTTTCCCAAGCCACAAGCAGGGAGCTGGATGGGAAGTGGAGCTGCCGGAATTAGAACCGGCACCCATATGGGATCCTGGGGCATTCAAGGCGAGGACTTTAGCTGCTAGGCCACCACGCTGGGCTCCTTTTCTCTTTTTCTAAGTCTGCCAAGTAAAATTTTAAAGAGTTTGCCATTTTCCCGAAGGATGGCTTAAAGTATCTGGACGAGGCGACGCCTGGCTGCAGGGAACAGGCAGTTCTCTCTCCCAGGTCAGTTCTAGTCACACTGACATCGCTCCTGCCATGATAGTAAAGCTGCATGACCCGCGGTGGAGCGAGTGACAGTCCTGGGAGGGGGGCTGGGCAGCTGGTGTGGGACCATGTCGTCGGTGTAGGAGTGAGAAGCTAGGAACCCCTTCCTGTACCCTTGTCCCTGCACTAGGAAAGAGTGGCCTGGCTCCATTGTTTACAGCTGTGAGGAGCCTTTCTCTTTCTTGCTCATCTTTAAAACCAAAGGCAGCTTTTTATTAGAAATTTGTGGTAAGTGGCATGGAGTTATGAGTTTATAAAGACACATTGATGTGGCAGGTCTTTTCCCCTCAGTGAGGTCTGTGGAATTTACAATTTTTATTTTTATGTTTGATTCAACTTAGGAAAACTTTTCATAAGATGGTATTTGTTGGAATGGCTAAAAATTGGCTTTGTTGCCAAGTCCACATGTGCCTAAAATTATTTAGTATATCCAATTCTTTTCATGAAAAAATTTCTTGATAACTTAATTCTGAATATTTTAAATATGGTGAGCAGTACCTCTACAGCACAAACCTTTCATTGATCTCATTTGATGTTTCCGTTTTAACAAGAGAAAATGTGTAATTTGTTCTTCTTCTAAACCAAAGATGCAAAAAAAGCAAAAGTTGAAGGCGGCGACACCGAGGCCCCTAAAACGGAATCCAGTGTGGCGGCGGCAGACAACGAGGAGGAAGACAGTGAAGTGCCCAGCCTGCCCCTGGGACTGACAGGTACCGCCCGCGTGCCCCCCAGCCCTCTGCCCGATAGTCCTTGTGCAGCTCCGTCCGTGAGAGATGTAACAGACATCTGTGCTGCTTTCTATCTTCTGCTCTGCATGCCTTAGTTCCTTTGTTCCTATGTGACTTTTTGTCCAGGACCCTGAGTATCTTTGTACCTGGCCTCTAGGAGCTGTCATCTCTGTGGTCTGTCCTTCCTGTGCTGTCATAGGCAGGTCGTTGGCCCAGGACCCTGGAGATCAGGGGTTTAGTGCAGTCTTGGTAACTGCCAGGGGAAGGAGGGTGAAATAGAGCTACTGGAAGGACTTGGGCCAGGTTAGCCTTCTTTGGCGTAAATCAAGCATTTAGTGTTACCTGCGCCCGACTAGAAATATCTAAGTGTTGCCTGAGTTGTAGGTTTCAGGGGTTTTGTTGAAATTGTTGAGGCTGTCATGTTGGGCCCTGTGTAAGGTTCACCCTACCACATTTGTAAGAGTCAGACCCGGGTGGTCTGGGTTGAGTATAGTTTGTGCCCGTTCCAGAAGTTGAACTCCCAAGGTCTTATGTTGGTGTTAGGGAGTGAAAGCTTAGCGTGGGACTCCCGGGCCTGAATCCTGCTGGCACACACAGCAGTATACTCTTTCTGCTGTCTCCTGCCGAATGACAGGATTCTGCCAGCAAAAAGGCCATCACCAGATGCACCAGCACTATGTTCCAAAAGAAAGCTTTTGGAAAAAAAAAATAATAATAAAGTAAAATAAAGAAGTAAATGCCCAATCCCAGACGTGCTCATGTCAAAGTTGCAATGATTGTGCCCAGAGCAGTTTTGCATGCTAGATGGGATGACCAGCTCCTCCCAGTTTGCCTAGAACTTGCAGGATAACCCTCACCTGGCATTCAGGATTGGTTGATCACGGTGCCCACAGGAGACCCTTTGGATGCCAGACTGTCAGGGCAGGGTCTGTCCTAATCTAGCCACAGAATAAATTGGACATGGCATTGAAAACACCTCCTGAATATCAAGCCTTGAATGTCCTTTAACAGGCTTAGAATACTACATAAACCAACTGCTGGACAAAGTCATCTTAACCCAAAACCCATTTTATAGTAAAGTACATCGAATATTACTATGTTTGTATGAACTATTATATTGGAATTTAAAGCAGTGGTCAGCCCTGCCGGGGACGTGTGGTGTCTGATGGTAAGCTGGATATCACGTAGTTTCAGGCCTGAGCATGAGCCCTCCAAGCTATGTTGATAGTTTGCTCTCCTGGCAATATACCGGTTGCACAGGCATTTGGCACAGTGGCTGAATGACCACTCAGGAGGCACACACCCGTATCAGGGTGCCTGGGTCAAGTCACAGCTCTGTTCTCCATTCCAGTGTCCTGCTGCCACACAGCCCGGGTGGCAGCTGGTGGTGGCTTGAGCACTTGAGGACCCAGATGGGTGCTGGGCTCCTGTCTTCCGTGTGGACCACACCAAAGGAGTGAACCTGCAGCCAGAGGGGTTCTCTCCACCTGTTGTTCTTCTCACAAGAATGCATACTTGGCATGGAAATTCTGTAACATTTGGCAGCCACATACAACTTCGCTGAGGTGAAATGAGATTAAGCAAGTTTTTGATTTGACTTCATTCTTAACTGCCCAAGACCAGGGGCCGGAAACTCATTGCAGGGATCCTGCGTGGATATGGGAACCCACTTACCAGAGTCCTCACTCGCTCTCAGTGCACTCCAGTGTTGAACGTCAAACTCCTGCAACTGTTTCTTTTGATGTTAATTTTGAAATTGACTTTATTTTTTGTTACTTGAGAGACAGGATGAGAGACCTTCAGTCCACTGGTTCAGCCCCCAAATTGCCGCAGTGACCAAGGCTGAGCCAGGCTGAAGCCAAGAGCCCTGAGCTGCTTCTGGGTCCCCCACAGCCTTGGGCCGTCCTCTGCTGCCTTCCCAAGAGCATCAGCAGTGAACTAGAGTGAAGTGAAGCGGCCGAGGCCACACGGGCAGCCGTAAGGGATGTCAAAGTCGGAAACGCCTTTGCGCCACAGTACCAGCCCCCATATTAAATTCCTTAAGCATTTCTTTCTGCTCTTCTCTTCTTGCTTTGGCGTTTCTTTTCCCCATAGAAGCACCTCATTACCTCTTTATTTGATAGGCAGAATGATCAACATCTTCCATCCACCAGTCTGTTCCCCAGCTGTCTGCGATGCCAAGGGCTGCCCCAGGCCAACTCTAGGAGCCTGGAACTCTGATTATTCCATGTGGGTGGCAGGGGGCCCAGGCGCTCGGGCCTTCCTCCACTCCTTTCCCAAGCGCCTTAGTAGGAAGCCAGATTGGAAGCTAAGCAGCCAGGGCTCAACCCAGCACGCCAGTTGGGATGCTAACGTCTCGAACAGTGGTTGAACTCACTAAGCCCAGCAGTGGCAGTCCCTGGGCTTTAAGTCATACACCTCTAGCAATTAGTAAGACTAAGACTGCAGGGTTTTGTTCACTATGGTAGGAAACATTGTAGGAATGACAGGTTTAGTGTTTTCTTGTTGTAGGAAGCTCTTGTAAGCAAAACTGACTGAAGCAGCTATTAGCTTGGAAAGCAGATGTTCACTAATGAGGCTCGCTCTCTTCCGCTCAGGAGCTTTTGAGGATACTTCCTTTGAATCCCTGAGTAACCTTGTCAATGAAAACACTCTGAAGGCAATAAAAGAAATGGGCTTCACAAACATGACTGAAATTCAGCATAAAAGCATCAGACCCCTTCTGGAAGGCAGGTAGGATTCATACTGATACTCGGGCACTGGTTTTCTGTTTTTAGGGCTGACGGATGGTAAAGAAAGGGTGTGGTTTTTGGATGTTTGTGTATGATATGTTGAGTTGTATATCCGTCCCACGCTGAAGGTTTTTATGTTATTTATTTCGAAAGGCTGGGATCTGTTTCTGTTCTGTAGCATAGCTCTCTTATTTCTGAGTTAGGAATTTTTGTGCGGGTGGTTGATTTCAGCAGCAGTAAAGATGGGAAACTTGTATTTCTTATGAAATAATTTCTGAGTAGCTAGGTTAACCATTTTTCTCTCTTTCCCCATGTAACATGTAGAGATCTTCTAGCAGCTGCAAAGACGGGCAGCGGCAAAACCCTGGCATTTCTCATCCCTGCAGTTGAACTGATTGTGAAGTTAAAGTTCATGCCCAGGAACGGTAAAAGCTTTTGATGTGTTGGTCCCATTACCACTTCCCCACGAGCCCAAATGGACGGCCTCAGTTCTGACTTCTGCCCTGCGTGGCTGTTTGTACCTTAGGCACAGGAGTCCTGATTCTGTCCCCGACTAGAGAGCTGGCCATGCAGACGTTTGGCGTTCTGAAGGAGCTGATGACCCACCACGTGCACACGTATGGCCTGATAATGGGGGGCAGCAACAGGTCCGCCGAAGCGCAGAAACTTGCCAACGGGATCAACATCATTGTGGCCACCCCCGGCCGGCTCCTGGACCACATGCAGGTGTGAGAATGGGCGTGGCTGGGGCTCACGGCCTTGGCTGGAACGGGAATGTGACAGCTAACCAGTGGTTTCTGTTTTGTTAGAACACCCCAGGGTTTATGTATAAGAACCTGCAGTGTCTGGTGATTGATGAGGCTGATCGCATCTTGGATGTTGGATTTGAAGAGGAATTGAAGCAAATTATTAAACTTTTGCCAAGTAAGTAGGTAGCGTAGAAGGTGCCTGTTGCAAGTTGAAGAGATGAAGCTCTCTTCAGTGGGAAGCTGGAATTGGGAGTGGAGTGAGGACTTGAACCCAGGATTTTCAGTATGCAGCTTGAATGTCCAGATGATGTCCTCACTGCGCTGTATCAAGTATCCACCCGAAGGGAACTGTTTCTTCAGGGAAATTACTGTATTGGTGCCAGCATGTTACCGTAACCAAATGCAGTAGTTGGAATGGGAAGTCTAACTTCAGGTACAGTACACATTTAGCAGTCTTAGCAAGCATGCTTCTGGCTTACCTGGATGGTGGTTGTATGGCTGGGTTTTTCTGACCTCATCGAAAATCTCCAGGCAGCTGTAACCTTGTGTGTTTCTTCGGACCTATGTGTGCCTTGATGATAGTCTTAACGTTAAAAACTGCCTGTATCTGCAATAGGCCATGATGCCATTTGTCGTGATTTGTTTTTAATGCTTTACTGAAATGCAGATGGCATCATTAAGCTGTGCACACTGAAGATTTGAAAGTTGGTACTTTGAAGGCTTTGCCTCCGAAACAGCTGTGTGAGATGGTGAACATGCACAAAGCTTCCTGCGGCTGTGCGCTCCCTCCCTGCTGTGCCCCTCCGCACACACACGTCTCTCAGGTGGCTTTGATCTGCTGTTTCTAGAGATTTTTGCGAGCAGAATTACACAGCGTGCACTGTGGTTTGGGTTCACTGAGGGGCAGACCTTCCATCCACTGGCTCACTGCTCAGGTGACCACAGTAGGCGAGGCTGGTCCAGGCCACATCCAGGGTCATGGACTTCCACCTGGGTCTCCCACTGTGGACGGCAGGAGACCAGATCCTTGGGCCATCTTGCAGTTCTTCCCAAGGTGCAACAACCAGGGCTCTGAACTGGGGCGCTCACGTGGGAGGTGCACATCACAACAGAGGCTTAACATGTCACGCCCCAAGTGCTGTTGTTGTGGTTTTCATTTGATTGCGTGTTGTCAGTAATTGTTTACTTTTTATTCCTCAGTAGTGTCCCGTTAAGTGAATATGTTAGTTTATCTGTTCACTTCTGGGTATTTCTATTGTTTTGGAGTTTGGGGCTGTTGTAAATAAACATGTCGTGCACATTGTTCTGAAGCTCATCCCAGTGGCGGGTGTCTCCCTTTGTCTCGAGTAGCCACTGCCCACGGGGAATAGAGGCATTTAACTTTTATAAAACACAGCCAGCTGTTCCCACAGCAGGAAGGCCGTGCTGCCTTCCCTTCAAGTGTCAATGACCATTCCAGTTCTCCCTGTGGAGTCATGAAGCCAGGGCGTGTTAGTGCCTAAATTTGTATTCTTTCAGAATTGTTCTGGTGAGTTTTGCCGTTTCTATTCCAGTGTAAATTTTACAATTTGTGTCTCCCTTCCTATCCCTTTTCTCGCCCAAAAACAGTCCAGGATCTTGATACAGATTGTGCTCAGTAGAGGCCACTGCGGAGGACAGAACCGAGTCAGGAACCTGTATCGGCCTTAGCGGTCTTGGCTTCCTCTATCATGTGACCGTTTTCATTCACTGAGTGGGTTTCGTATCTAGAGGGCAGGACAGAGTAGCTTCTCCCAGATGTTCTGTGCATGTGGGTAGTTACGGAGGTTGCACAGGGTGGGGCTTACTGATGGGCGTGTGTACCGTAGCCCGCAGGCAGACCATGCTCTTCTCCGCCACACAAACGCGGAAAGTGGAAGACCTGGCGAGGATTTCTCTGAAGAAGGAGCCGTTGTACGTCGGTGTCGATGACGACAAAGCCAACGCCACGGTGGACGGCCTTGAGCAGGTGCTTGGCGTGATCAGCCCCGGACTGAGGGGGTCATGTTGGATACTGGTAGTTGCTGGGGTGATCATTCAGAAAGCAGATGAGTCAGTGACCCTTGCATTTAAATGGACTCGGGGATTGGGTTGCTTCCGAAAGAAAATGCATGAACTCTGAGTAACTGGGTCAACTCCCTGCTCTGGATGTGGGAGGCTTTGTGCCTCACTGCCAATTCTACAGGTATTTTTTTTTTTTCTTTTGTTAGAGTGTGGTTTTTAATCACTTTCTCCAAGTTGCATGGTGATTGAGGTGATAGAGACTGCCATAGGGGCACAGAGCGGTGGTGGTCAAAACAAGAGGGCAAGTACAGATGAGCTCATTAAGATTGAGTCGTAGATGAGTAAAATATTCCGTATAACCTAATGTCGGTGTGAAAACCTCTAGTGGTTGCTTGGTCTGTTTTTTTTAAGTGCTGCAGGACAGGTGTGGTGGTCTATGCAGCTGTCAGCGCTCTCAGCTGGTAATACTATCATCCACTGGATTGATTTGTGTCTGCTGTCTTGGACCGTTTCCAGGGATATGTTGTTTGTCCCTCAGAAAAGAGATTCCTACTGCTCTTCACATTCCTTAAGAAGAACCGAAAGAAGAAACTCATGGTCTTCTTCTCCTCCTGCATGTCCGTGAAATACCACTACGAGCTGCTGAACTACATTGACCTGCCCGTGCTGGCTATCCACGTGAGTGACCGGAGGAGCCTGCATGGGAGACTGGCTCCTCTAACCACGGCTGTGCGTGGAGGCAGCTGTGCTGGACGTGAGGGCTGCAAAGGAGGAGCAGCGCCCTTCTCCAGGGCCTTGCAGTCCCGCTGGGAAGGGGGAGAGAGGGTTTATGCCTCCACACTGCCCACAAGTGGACTCAGGGGTCTGCGTCTCATGGCTCTTTGGGTTGGATTCCAGGGAAAGCAGAAGCAGAACAAACGGACGACTACGTTCTTCCAGTTCTGCAACGCAGACTCGGGGATATTGCTGTGTACAGATGTGGCCGCAAGGGGGCTGGATATTCCTGAAGTGGACTGGATTGTCCAGTACGACCCTCCGGATGACCCTAAGGTGAGTGGCAGCCTTGGTCTGGCTTCTGGGTGGTGCTCCCCTGAGGCGAGCAGGGATTCCCCAGGTTCTCTGAGAAGCATTCATTCCACGTCCACTGGGTTTGTCCCTGCTCTGAATCTATTCTCTGATAATAGTGTTTGCAGGGCCCAAAGGCAAGCTGAACAGATTCACTGTGATTTATAGAGAGGATAGATAGATCTTCCATTCCATTGCTTCACTCCCCGAACAGGTGCAATGACCAAAGCTGGGAGCCAGGAGGTTCTTCCATGCCGTCCACATGGAAACTGGGGCAAAGCACTTGGGCCATCCTCTGCTGCTTTCCCAAGCCATTGGCAGAGAGTTGGATTGAAAGTGGGACAGCCGAGACATGAACCAATCCCCTTATGGGGTGCTGGCACTGCAAGCCAGGACTTAGCTCACTAAGCCACAGTACCATCCCCTAGTGCGAGGAAGTTTGAACAATCCAGTGGGACTTAGGTAAAGAATGTTTGATCCCTGGAATTACGTGCAAAGAACAGCAGGTGATTGGGAGAGAGGTAATGTACTCAGGTTAGAACACATTGTGCAAGATTTGTAGAACTGTCAGCTTGCTTGTAAGCGTGCTCCCTTCCTTAAAAGCCATTTTGGGGCCCAGTGCCGTGGCCTAGTGGCTGAAGTCCTCACCCTGAACATGCCAGGATCCCATATGGGCACCAGTCCTAATCCCGGCAGTTCCATTTCCCATCCAGCTCCCTGCTTGTAGCCTGGGAAAGCAGTGGAGGACGGCCCAAAGCCTTGGGACCCCGTACCTTGTGGGAGACCCGGAAGAAGATCTGGGCTCCTGGCTTCGGACCGGCTCGGCACTGGCTGTTGTGGTCACTTGGGGAGTAAATCATTGGCTGGAAGATTTTCCTCTCTGTCTCTCCTCTCTGTATATCTGACTTTCCAATAAAAATTTTAAAATAATAATAAATAAAAGCCATTTTGAAGGTGAAACATATGATATTTATGCTTTGATCACAGGGTTAACCTGAATGTTATGCTCAGTTTTGTTGTTTGTATTTTGTTTGTTTATATTTTTTTTGTTGGCCCCCGGCCTGTTGTCCCTTTGCGGGGCACGGGGTGAAGGCATGCCCGTCACTGTGCTAACTTGCCTTGCCTTCTGCACCGCAGGAATATATTCACCGTGTGGGTAGAACAGCCCGGGGTCTGAACGGACGAGGGCACGCCCTGCTCATTCTGCGTCCAGAAGAACTGGGTTTCCTTCGTTACTTGAAGCAGTCCAAGGTAACGCTGTGATGAGGAAAATCTGGATTTGGGAGGAGAATGCTCTCGGCCGGGGTTGCAGGCCAGCACCGTCTGTGGTTATGGCCGTGGCTGTTGGGAGAGAGGGCAGAGCTGATAGCAGTTGCTGCACAGTTCAGTAAGCAAGCTTTTATGTGCTTCTGCCAGGAAGTACAGGCACCCAGCAGGTGTGGCCCAGTGGTGCCAGCCTCTGCTCTCCCATTTTTCACTGCCCTGTTTGAAATCTGGCGCTCCTTCGGGCTCCCTCACAGTGAGCCATCTCTACCTCCTGCACTGCTCTCTGCCTCGTCCTGCGGGCGTCTTTCCCCTTAACCCGCGGGAGGCAGTGGGATCCCCATGTGCTTGCACCTCTGACGCCCCGGGCCTCTTCATATCCCTGACTCACTGGTTTTTGACCTTCACGGTTTCCCTTGTAGTGAGTGCTCTACTGCCAGCCGTCTCACCCGCTCTCCTGCTGCTGCCTCCACGGGCCTGCTGCATGCTGCCTCTGCCTTTGCTCGGCCTGCTCTTAGAGGACTGCAGGCTCCAGAATTTGGCACATTCTTTTTCCCTAATGCAGATGCTCTTTGTTATCTGATAAGCAATGATTGATAACAAGTGCTTTGTTTAGTAGTTGGCTGCCATTGCAGCCTCTGCTGGCGCTAGCCCCACAGCAGGGCCGTGTGGCATCAGGACAGCTTTCCTGAGGCTTAGAACAAAATGAGGACAGTCGAGAGCTCCAGAGAAAAGTGCCTCCCCAGTTCTTGTCCCTGTCCAGGTCCTCGCCAGAGCCTCTCAGAGGGAAAATGTGCCTAATGCGTGTGGAGTCAGAGCCTGGATGCAGCTTTCTTGTTGAGGTTTGGGGTGCGACGCCAAGCAAGGCTTTCTGTCCATGCCGAGGCCTGGGTTCCTCCACTGTCTTAGAGCCTCCCGAGCCACGGGCAGTCTCCTGCTGACCTCGGTCCATGGAACACTCATCTTCATCCTTGTTTTCTAGGTTCCATTAAGTGAATTCGACTTCTCCTGGTCTAAAATCTCTAACATTCAGTCTCAGGTACTGTGTTCTCTGTTTATTTGAGTTACATTTATGACTAGGAGGTGATCTGGGCATGGCAGCACCTCCTGTAGTGTGTGTCCGTGAGCAGGGACTGTCTGCATCCGTGCTCCCGCGTGTGGTGCTCGGCCTGCGTGTTGTAGTCACAGAGCGTAAGTGACTGCTTGTGCACGAGCTGTTTCTGTGACAAGATAACAGAGCACCTGCTGCAGATAAAATGCTGGGGTTTGTTTTCACTCCGCTGTCACGGCAGAGTCGGCCTGTGTTCAGCCTGTGATGTTGACGGTGCTCTTGCACGGAGACATCCCGTGGCAAGGGACATAGATGGCTGTGTCTGGTCTCCAGAGCCACCGGGATTTAATCCTGGGGAGAGGGCCCAGCTCCAGTCACCTGCCCTTGAACGTTGTAGACTTAGGACTTTGGGGGGGGCCACTGGGCATCCAGCTATCGCCAGCTGCAGCCGCTGAGGGCCACATCCCTGTTCAGTTGGCACCCACAAAAACTGCAGCAGCCTTCTTACTGTGGAGTGGCTTTCCTCCGAAGCCTGCAGCCGTGTGTTAGGTCAGGTGCTCTGTACGAGATGGCTTTGTTCTGATGTATCTAAGGCTGTTCTCCCTTTATTAAAACCAGTGTTTCTGTTTCAGCTTGAGAAGCTGATCGAGAAGAATTACTTCCTTCACAAGTCAGCCCAGGAAGCCTATAAGTCGTACATACGCGCTTATGATTCCCATTCTCTGAAGCAGATCTTCAATGTCAATAACTTAAACTTGACTCAGGTGGCACTGTCTTTCGGCTTCAAGGTGCCTCCTTTTGTGGATCTGAGTATCCTTTTGTGTGTTGAAATGTCATCCTGAAGCTCGAGGACCAAAGCCTTAGCAGGGGTGTTAGAAGCTGAAAAGCAGCTTACTGCATGATGTGACTACAGGCTGGGGCTTCGGTGTCCATTCTGGCCAGCGTGCTGGCCCAGGGCACAGGTGGGACAGAGTGAGCAGGGTTAGAGGACACGGGGAGAGGGAGCTTTGTTCTCCACCTTTAAAAGGTGTGAGTGTCGGTAAGGCAGAGCTCAGGTGATTGCTGTGGCCGGGCTGTGTGTCAGCAGAATCCTGGAAGTTTTTTGGTAAGTCTGAATCCCCTGGAAAGTTCTTGAAGGGTCTCACGGAAGGAAATGAAGCCTCATTGTGGCCCGAGACCAAAGGCCAAGGAACTACTTCCTTTGCTTCCAGAGCATTGAACAGTGTCTTGCCGCCACTTTTCAGCAGAAAGGACTTGCTCACCCAGTTCAGTTGAGACCTGTTCTTTGATGCTGGGGTCGGACTATGGGGAGGAGGGGTTGGAGGAGCACGTTCTGGGTTTGCATCCCCGTGCACGCCCTGCAGGAACAGCAGCTGACAGCCGTGCGTTTCAGGTCCCAAGGATGGATGAGCAGCCCCATCACTTCAGCATTCCCAGGTCTGCTCCGATGGCAGAGTCCTTGGTCATGGCACCAAGACTGCTTTTCAAGCACATGCTGGAATTTTTTTCTTGGAGGTGTTCATTTGGAGTTCTTGCCCTTTGTGGCTGCATTTTCCTTAACAGTCCACTTTAGATGTGAACAGCAATGATGGCAAGGTTCGAAAGAGAGGAGGTGGCGGGGGATTCGGCTACCAGAAAACCAAGAAGGTTGAGAAATCCATCATCTTCAAGCACATCAGCAAGAAGCCGTCCGACCGCAGGCAGTTCTCCCACTGAAGGTGCCCCTTCCCCTCAGTCACTGTCCCGGAGTCGGTGTTTAATCTAGCCACGGAATCTTTATAGCCTTTACAATTGAGCTCAACCAGTGAGCGCACAGGCTGCAACAGTGGACGCTGTAATTTCCAGCAAGTGTCTATTTTTAAGATTTTGTAGAATATAAAACAGACTTTGATGTTTCTTGATTGCCCAAGGACAAAGCGAGGAGCCTTTTTATTTTTGTTCTGATGGTACAATATATGAATTTTACACACACTTCCCCCTTCAGTCATTGTTTTGCTATGACTCTTGCACCTTTCCCTCCTAGCAGGGAAAGGTGGGCAGGTCGTGCATGAATTCTCTCAGTGTATTGTTTTTGCTTGAGTTTACCAGGCCTTCTTGTAGCTTCTGAACCTCCTGAAAAGGCTAAGATACGGAAGCAGAGAGCTATGGGAAGTAGGAAGCCCCTTGGGATAAAGGCAGCATCACTTTTATGTCTTAAATTTGAAACCATGAGCCTTTGAGTATTTCTCACTGTTGATTTCATTAAGAGGCTGAACTGTAGGATATTGGGACGGGGAAGGGAGTGGGAGGTGTGGAGTTGAGCGCGCTGGCCTCACGTGTGGAAGTACAGATAACCGTATTGTTCACTATTTGGTGACTTGGCCAAAAAGACTTGTGAAACAAAATAGAGATTTTCTCATTCCAGTGTTCATCCTGCAGCGGACAGGGTTTGGTTCAGTCCTTCCAACTCGATGCAGTGTTTCAAATGTCACATCACTGCTGGGAAATGGAAACCCAAGCCGTCATATAATTCTAGGTCTGCATTACGTTAGCTCTGTTAGAAAGTTGGGCTCAGGCCCAGCACCGTGGCCTAGCAGCTAACGTCCTCACCTTGAACACACCAGGATCCCATATGGGTACTAGTTCTAATCCCGGCAGCCCCGCTTCCCATCCAGCTCCCTGCTTGTGGCCTGGGAATGCAGTGAAGGATGGCCCAAAGCCTTGGGATCAAGCACCCACGTGGGAGACCTGGAAGAGGCTGCTGGCTTCTGGCTTCAGATTGGCTTAACTCTGGCCATTGCAGTCACTTGGGGAGTGAATCAGTGAATGGAAGGTCTTCCTCTCTGTATATCTGAGTTTGCGATAAAAAATAAAATCTTTTAAAGAAAAAAAGTTGGCCTCTTCCAGGCCTGTGACAAAAAGTAGATTCGCAGTGAAACCTGCCCAGAAATGAACAGAAGATCAAAACTTGAGCTGTAGATAGATACAAAGGCAGAGTTGTTAGCCTAGATGTGCCGGGAAGTACACCGAGGGCACCAGCTGTGGAGGGGATTCTCTGGTCCATAGCATTCCAGGTTGAAATGAAAGAAGCACCGTTGCCTTGGCTGCTTGCCCGGGCCTCGTGCCCTGGCTGTGGAGTTCCTGCTGTCTTAACTCCCGACATTGACTTTCAGCAGGATTTGGGGGTTTTGTTTTCTCTGTCAGGAATCCATGTTTCGTCAAGTGCACAGAAGCAAAGAATGATTACTAAACAGAAGTAAGCACTGTTGAGATTTGGATATATGATCTTTCGGTTTGATGTATTTCTTCTTATATTTTTTTATTTTTCTTCAAAAGTGAAGTCGTCCTCTCCCTGTGATAACCATCTTGTTTGGAAGTTCATTAAATCTGTCAGTCTTGTATTTCACGTGTTGACCATGCTGTGCTGACCCTTCCTCTGCCAGGATTGCGGTTCTGTGGTACCTGCTAGTCCCATCCAGGTCCTCCCGTGTCAGAATGCCTAGTCCCTTCTGTTGTCTTGCCATTGGTGGCCTACGGTATGAGGCAATCTTAAGAGGTTTTGTTGAAAGGTTATATGAACAGCAAGTAGGAAGGTGAATTGCACTGTAAATGCTTGTCTGCTTCATGAAGTGGGAAAGAAGGAGCTGCCATGCAAAGGGCACAGGCTGTTCCGCGAATGAAGTGCCCAGGGCATGTTAGCTGTCCCTTGTGCACCTGATGTGAAAAGCTTGTTGCCAGGCAACATGCGCAGGAACTCAAAGATCCAGAGCTAGCCTGGGCCTCCCAGAGTGCCAGCTAAGGATTTCCATAGTGTGAGAAGTAGTCCTGGGCTGTGGAGAGCAGGCAGGTTCCACAGCGCTGCTGCATGGCTGTCAGGCTGGTGTCATTTTTGAGGCTCCTCTGATACGTACTGAGTGTTAAATGAGGGCAGAGCAGTATGTGTTGGGTGAGCTGAATTTGTCATTAAACACCTGTCATGTGTCAGGAAGTGCAGAGGACAGGCAGACTTGGCCTGGTCCCTCTTATAGGAAGAAGTTGATTAGTCGTTTAGCAGGGACAGGGAACCTTTTTTGTGCCAAGTCATTTGGGTATTGGCAGCAGCATTTGTGGGCCATAATTATCACAAAGTTGGTGTGCTATCAGTAGATTAAATTTTGAGCCCTGCTCGCAGTTGCCTTTGTCAGAATCAGACCAGAAGATTTCATGAGCCAGTGTTCCCTGTCCTGTAGAGGTTGTCACAGTTACACTTGCTATGCAGTATTGAGATCAGTTTAGAGAGAATCCTCCCCACCCCGAATTCTAAGCCTTGGAACCTGACATCTTAGCATTCTAGGCTGTTCCCCATGGATTTCTGATTAAATGGGGCAGAATCTAGGCGATCCCTTCATTTACAGTTAGCATTCAGGAACAACCCACGCATGCGCATAAACTAGGTTGGCCTGGGGCAGACACAGGTTCCAGGTCTCCAGAGGAAAATACCTGTGCACTTGACTGCCTCAGGGAGGCGGGACATGTTACAGAGGAGCTGAGCACCTGGGCCAAGTGATGGCTGTGGATCGGTCAGCAGTGCTTACTCAGTCACTAGCCACTGGTGTCCACAGGAAGTGAGTCTGCATCCGCAGTCTTGGAATGGACTGGGCAACTTCTAGCTGGCACTGGTTTGTAGACAAATGAGCATGTTTGGAAGGCTCCTAGTGTCCCCAGCAGGAGGCCTACCCCGAGTGGGCCAGAGGAAAGGGGGTGCTGGAGAGGACGGCTGGTGGCTGCTGTGATGGAGGTACTCCTGTGCCAGAACAGCAGCCCCACCCAGAACAGTCAGTGACAGTTTTTGGTTCGTCAGCAGTTGGTAGAGAGGAATTGTGGGCTCATTTTGATTCTCACACTCGGAAAATGTGCTTGAAAGCACTTGGAAGACTGTATTCGAGCCTGAGTGGGTCAGACTTGGAGCTTAATCCCGTTCTAGCAAAGGATCCCTCAAAAAGTGTATGGGGCCTTGTGTCGTGCAGTGGGTTAAGCCGTCTCTTGTGATGGTCACGTCCTGCACAGAGCGCCAGTTCCAGTCCTGGACGCTTTGCCTTCTGGCCCAGCTTCCTATGTAATGTACCTGGGAAGGCACTGGATAAGGCCCCCAAGTATTTAGGACCTGCCCAGGCCTGGCTGTTGCAGCTACCTGGGGAGTGAGCCATCTCATAGAAGATACACATCTCTCTCTTTGTCCCACTTTGTCTTTCAAAGAAAACAAATACGTCTCCTTGTAAAAGCCACTGGAAAAATGGAATTCAATTATTTGGATGCAAAATAACTTCAAGTCCAATCATTTGAGAGTTCTCCAAAACAGCTCATGAAAATGCAGATCATCAAAAATAATGTGTGGAAATTGTTGCACCTAAATAAGAGAATTCCCATATGGTTCACTCTGCAAATTCCCTTAATTGACAAAGGGGCTGAGACTCAGCCAGGGATCGGGAACTCATCCCGCCAACGGGCAGGAACCTGCAGACTTGGGCCGTCACCTGCTGCCTCTCAGGGTGCACGTTAGCAGGAAGCTAAAATTAGGAGTGGAGCCAAGACTCGAACACAAGGATTCTGGTATGGGACATTGGCATCTTCACCACTAGGCCACCAAAACATACCTTCTGTTCTTCCGCAGAGTTTTTAAAGTCTACAGTACTGGAAGCTTCCTAACCATGCTGAGGACAGAATCATACCACGAACCCCAGTGCCCCTGCTGATGTTGCTGGTGTCCGCATTTGGGAATAAGAGAAATAGGCAAGTTCCTGAGAACACAGACCCAAGTATAGAGCTGGCAACCATGGAGCCAGGACACGAAATTCAACATCCAGCCCTGATGCTGTGGCACAGATGGCCATGAGAGGTCCCACACACGGGGAACAGCATGCTTGACTTTGCTCTGATAACACATTTGAGCCTCTGCTAAAGAACAGGAGCCTGGGGGTACTGGGCTCTGCAGGCTCCCTGTAGGGAGAGCCAGTTTGGGCAGGGAAAGCACGCATTTGCAAGGGCTGGATGTTCAAGAACCACTTTGAGAAGGTCATGGCGTCCTTTGAGACACAAGTTCTAATAGCAACAAAGGGCCAGAGGAAGAGAGAAGGAGTAGTGTGAGGAGCTGCAGAGACAACAACGCTCAGGGAGCCGGCTTGCCCCTGGGGCCTGGAATTGGCCTGTGAGGGGATCCTGCACTGTCAGGAGCAAGGAACGCTCTTGTGTGCCTCCCAGCTGCTGTTTGTAACACTACTGAAGTCCTCACCGGGCTGCAGGTCCCAGCAGTCAGTGCACCAGGAATCTCAGCTGCTCTGAGCAGACATAATGAAAATTTTACAGAAGCAGGAGAGCGGAGCCGGGAACCTCACTGGAAACCACACCAAGGAGGCCAGAAAGACCAGCCATGATGTTTTTGTTAGATTTATCTGTTTATATTGGAAAAGTAGATTTACAGAGAGAAGGAAAGACAAAGATTTTCCATCCACTGGTTCACTCCCCAAATGGCCACATTAATCAGAGCTAAGCCAATGTGAAGCCAGGAACCAGGAGCTTCATCTGGGTCTCCCATGCAGGTGCAGGGGCCCAGGGACTTGGGCCACCCTCCACTGTTTGCCCAGGCCATAACCAGGGAGCTGGATTGGGAAATACCAAGCTGGAATACAAGTCCGTGCCCATACTGGATGCCAGTGCTTACAGGCAGAGGATTAGCTAGCTGAGCTATCACGCCATCCCCAACTTGGCTTTTGCAGTAGAGAGGCAGTGTGTACTTGGGGGGGTGGAGCTAGAAGAAACAGATGCTAGACATCATGGCTTTGCAACTTCCAGCTGTCACCAGAAACACCGGGGAGAAGCCAGGGTGGATGGAAGCAACAGGAGGCTTTGATTCCTGCAAAGGTCGGGCCATCAGCAGATGTAGTGAGATGGGTAAGTGGCC